CGGTATTAGAAGATTTTGTGATTTCTAAAATGCAGTCGGCAGATGCAGCTAGCACGTCTAAGGTGTTGTTGTGGGACGAGACCAGAACCGCTTGCACCTTTTGAGGAAGTTTGACAAGAAAATTTGTTTGAATAGGCCTTCGTCGAAAGTTCTTAGGCCTATCACTTCTCTCATCCGTTGCAACATGTCCGTCGCAGAACCGTGTTGCAGGTCGATGTTATTGAAGAGTTGATCTAACCTTTGTCTATCGTTCAGGTCTCAGCGTTTAAGAACAGAACGTTTCAGCGTTTCGTAAGGTTCGGAAACATCACTAGTAAACATACTAGGTGTAACGTACCTGTTGAATTCGTGCGGTAGTGCCTTGACTACTGCGAGGCATTGTGCACGTGTGTCGATCACGGCGTGCTCGGGGAAGTCGGCTTCAGCGTAGCAAAACCAGGCTTCGATGTTGTCTGGCCTGAAGGGCATGAGCTGGAACGCAGGTGGGGACAAAGTCTTAAGCTTAAGTACTTTGGGTGTCTGTTCAGTCATGATGAAATATGAAGTACGATAATGAACGAGGGAAAAATATCACAATGTATAAAAAATTAAGATAAGGCAATGATATATAGTATCCAAAAATGGAACACACTCACAGTTTGAGATTTGGTGTATCAGATCACGTTAGGCTCACCAATGAAAATGACACAGGTATTCAGTGTTTGACAAGGCTTTAACCAGTAACACCTAATATAACTCGTACCCATCAAGAGGAATTAAAAGACAGAATCGAGGAGATTGGAAGATATATTTGATATGCTATCAATATATCGAGAATCGTCTGATCTAATCTGGCTAGCGATTGCGGTAGATGTTGAGCACGGCGTTCTCACTCGTGATCTGATGCGATGCATGATCGAGTCCGTTGAGTCTAATGTGGTCAGCATCCAATGTCGAAAACTTACGGAGCTATTTATTTTGAGGATTTATTTACCGCTACATACGACAGTGTAATCTACGTTGCAACATGTGGAAGCAGAGACCTCTGAATATTCGACCGTTTGTTTCTTTACTGATGCATCCAGTATTCTTGCGGCTTTTATGACAAAATAAGGTAATTATGCTTATGTAGGGCTATTTGATTCACGAATTTTTAAACTGTAAGTCAGGTGCATGTGGCTATCATTGTCGATGGTTACTGGTGAAGAATCGGAGTGTTCTTCCCAAGTAAATCTGATATAATTCCAATGAGTCACTTCGATAGCGTCGGTTTTATCGAGGTTGAAAGTGACCGTACAGTGTGGCAGAAAAAAAATGTAATATGATTGTCATTATTATTGATACAATAGCTTACCATAATCTTTGGCAATAATTTCTGTTGTAACGCGACATTTGCCGTCGTATCAAGTTGTACAGACTGTTGCTTTCGATAACGAATATATTATATACATGATTGTTATTTGCTGCTTGTCCCAGATCAAGTATGGTGATCACATAGTTTTTTAAACTCATATACTTGATTTACCCCTACAATAATGGGATTACTATTTGAATATAATAAGAGTAAACGTGGCTACAATTTTAATACGAAGCTTCAGCTCCTATCGAGATGGTGAGTCATTTACAGAAGACCTATATGAATGAAGTGATATAACATCAAGCATCTGGATTATTTCTTTGACATTAATAAATAATCTCTAAGTATCACTTCAGACACTTTACGTCTTATTGGAGCTAAGACTGACCAACCGATTCAAAGAGATCACTCACCGCCTAGTGAATGTAAAGTCATATCTTGTAAAGAGTACTTGTACAGCCATAAAATGTACCTTATGCACTTAATGTAAAAACTGCTCAACTAGAGATTACAATCATTTGTTCCTCATTTATAAACACTCGAATATTATTCCATTACTCTCCAGAACTGACGCTGATTACTAAGCGACTGTAATAATCCATATCTATGAAGAATCATATACTAGTTAAAATCAGAGTTTTTCAAACTCCAATAGTGATATGCATTTGTCCAATATATCGGAATGAAAGAGCATGTAGATGATAGCTTATAATAATGGTACTCTCAAGGCAAATCTAACTACGAAGTGAACAAAATGAATGAACTCCCTTTGAAAACGTTTCTTCCGATGACGCAAAGAGGGACTTGTACAATTGCATTGTAAAATCTATCTGCAAAACATTGCTTACCTAAATATTTTGTAGACGTTAAGTCACTACTGTTCAAAACAAAAGGATGTTTCTACCAGATAAAAAGATTCTACGCTACTGATGGACCGACTGAAAGGTGCCCAACGAAGAATTGGAGACCGTCATGGCTGCCACGGCAATAAAAAGTTTGACAGGACTCATTAATTCCCTTCACAGAAATCCGGAAATAAAGCAACGGAACCGAAAAAAACAATAGTAAATGGATATTCGCAATAACATTTTCTTTATTCTGAAATTAAATATAGCACACGCGAAGTGGAAATTAAGAATCATAAACTTATGTTCAGATAGTTATAAAGGCTAACGTCTTTTGCAAGTATATATGTAGGGATGTTCACTAACACAAAACACATGCAGAAAGATCGCACAGTATATTTCGGAGGTAGATTCAGATAAATATTTGTCGGAGTATATCTGACAATGATCGTAGATTGCAAAATGGACAGTAAAATTTCATCGATGTATTTTACTGAACCCCTTATGCTTCTCAGCAATCAGTGAGTCACCAGTTTCCAAATCCAAACTCAGGGCACTTAACCCCGCCAATATGTTATTATTGTCTTACATTGTTGGTGAAATGATGCGAAATCCCAAACTCTGAAACCACCAAAATTATATCGAAACTGAGGATGATACAGGTATTCAGTGTTTGACAACGCTTCTACCAGTAACACCTAATATACTTTGTTCCCACCGAGAGAAATCAAAAGACAGAGTCGAGGAGATCGGAAGAGTGTATTTGGCGATAACCAATATATCGGAATTCTCTGATCTAATCTGGCTAGCGACTGCGGTAGATGTTGAGCACGGCGTTACCACACGTGATCTGGTGCGGATGCATGACCGCCTTCAGCTAGATGGGTCCACTAAAACATATGGTCAGCATCCAATGTCGAAAACTTACAGAGCTATTTAGTTTGGGGATTTATTTACCGCTACAAAACTCAATCGTTGCACGTTAGGCATACTTACCTCGATCAGCTTCAGTATCCCTAGTTATTATAACTGCTACGACTATTTATTGAACTACTTGTAACCTTAATATGTGTGCAACACTTCCTGGCTTACTAATAATTGCTAATCAAAACAGTCGATCGTAGAGTTACTATTTCCTTTCCTTTTTAGTCTTTATCAGTTGATCTTTTTACTTACCGCTTTTCATTATCAAATATTCTGAAAGGTATTAATCCCCCCCTAAGTCCCTATGCCGTAATAACAAGATCTACTTGTTGATATCTTGTTCTACGGGAGGGCGCAGTGGGTAATCGTTAGGAGGAGAAACAATAACAAGTTAGTAGCGGCTGCACCAAGAATTCGGAAAGTGTGACATTAAACAAAAAACCCTGTCGTGATATCCAAGTAAAGCCTAAAAGAAAAGTCTTTCGATGAACAACCGCAGAACAAACAGATTCAACCTGGTGGGTACGCGTATCATCGTAGCTAACCTGTGCCGCTTATGTAGGAGCAAAAATACGACGAAAGGTACACCTCCTTCACTAAGAGTCACACTACTCCTGAAATCTGGTAGAACAATAGCTAAGTGGTTTTGGGACATTAGGGTTTGGTACGGCAAGCTTCGTAAGGTGCGAAAATCCGAAAGTAAGCTAACTAAAAGTGCTGAAAAACCCGACAGTATGGTGGTTCATGGGGTACTATAGTTGATTTACGGCAATCAGTAGGACGCTTGTAAAGATAACATACAACAGTGGTCTTAGTTGTCACGCCCTCAAGGGAGTTTATAATACGTCGAAGACCATTGTATCCTAACGTCATTTGATGAGAGTGAACTTCTATGATCAAGGCGACCTAACTTAAATCCTTAGGGAAATGAGAAACTGTTTTAACGGGATGTATATTTGTATTGAAGTACACTGATTGGCAATGTCCTAGCCAATCAACACTGGCGGGTGCTCAGAGAAGAATCTAGAATCTCGTGCAAAATCATAAACATACTAACGTGCTTCTTATTTTGATTCCTAATTCCATTCAACCTTTCCTATTTGGAATATAATTATGTTTCTGTCCAATCGTGTTTCCATTTGGGGACCTATCGAGTGAAATATTACAAGAATGAGCGATAAGGTTAACTGGGTTGCAATAAGAGAACTCATAACACACTGGTAGACCGATCAATGAACATTTATTTGATAACAACTTCATACTTGGTTTATGAAGTTAAATATTAGTGCAGAGCCTTGAGCAGTTAATTGAAGGGAAATATTTCTCCACTGAACTCATGTTTTTCAATACTACAGTTTCAGGGTTTTCGAATTTTGTACGATGCCTCCTTAGTTATACTATGTTTGTGGAGACACTTTGGCACAGTGACCTAACGGGTTCCATGTAATAGATTGTCGACTTTCACGCTCTGAAATAACACTTTCAAACGAAAGCAAACAAAAGGGGTATCACTAAAGATAGATAATCTTGCTAATCAATTGACATCTATTGTTTGGAAGAACTGCTTGGCAGATTTTTAGTTTACTACTAACTTATATTGCAATAAGAAGCGCGGCCGTTTAAAGGCCCATTTTTGTGAGTAAACGTAAGTTGTTACTTAGGAAACTCGGTACTTCATCAACTGGGCCGCCAGAGAGAGCTATCTGCTAATCCTAATAAAATAGTGTTGTTTTGCTTTTTTTTGGTTCCGATTTGATTTGTCTTTGTGCATAAAGAAACAATACGGCAAATAAGATCCGCTCTAACTACAACTCTGATACTGAACGAACTATATTTCTGACAATTATATAGTATGTCAATGAGTGACTTCCGTGTTCTCACAGAAATAAAACAAATTGAATCCAATACTGATATAATTCATAAATAAATGTGTCATACATGTAATAAATGTAAAAACCGATACTTCATTAGTATTACGGTGTAACACCTTTGGATAATTTGATGGACTAATTATACAATAATTAGATCAGTAATAAAGCATTATGAAAGAAATTAATAAACCCTTATTAGGAAGGAATGTTAAGAACTTGGATTATTTTATTACAAAAAATAAATTACATGGGAAATAAGCTTGGTATGAAAATGAAATTAGTACAAAAAATATGTACTTGGAAAATCAGATCATACACAACTACTTTTCCTAACTGGTAAAAGACAAAGATTATAATGAACGTTGGATTTCCAAAAACTTTGAAGTTTCCACCCACACCAACCTTTTTCGGTAATAAGCTTAATATTTCCAAAGGGGCCAGTATAATGAGGATCCAGAATTAAATAGCGATATGACGAAGATTCAGTACCGTTTAATGTTGATTCACATAATTGAACACCAATAATTGTATGAGCTAATTGGCCACCACCAACCATAACTGGTCCCCCACCGGAAATGAAATGCTGTGCAAGAGCATGTGCTGCTAGCTGGTTCATCTGATGTCCTTGTGGGATGTGCAAAAGCCGACACTGAATGTTGTATAACTCTTGCAAACAGTAACTCACCTGAATACAAGCACAGATACATGCAACTTTAAAATACAAGACAAAACCTCAAGAATAAAATTATTCCTATATATATTTCGCAAAACGAGTGAAAGTAGCACCAGAAAATCCTTTTTATCACTGCAATTTACCATAATTCATACAAAAAAACACTCAAAATCTGCTCACTAAATATACGAAGATGGATTAACAACTCTTTGTGGTGTTGCAAGTGTAGCGGTGAGTTCGAAAGTGGATACGAGGCTGAGTGGTTTAGACTCATTTTTTCAGTCTCAGTCCTGAGAGGATATTGCCAGAGCCATCTGCTGCAATTACTTTTAAAAATTCACTTATGGAGAAATTGTCCCATTCGGTGACCCAGCACATCGTCTTAGCAATGGGCATAAATAAATTTAGCCCTAACCGTGAAGCCATTGTCTATTGGTGGAGTCATTGTGGCAATATATATAGTGAGTGATATGATTGCAAATCGGTTGCAGTGGTGCATTTGTATTTATTCCTGTTTTCAGATCTTATGTTTTAATATTATTTCTTTTAGTTTATTTAGTTCTGTTCATCTTTTAAAAACCGTATCCGTTTATTTTTTGGTATTATATTCGAAAATACTATTTTTAGCTACGTATCTTGCTTTGCTGAAGTAATGTATCAACTACGGTTGGTCCGCGCTTTTTCCTGAATTTATGTTGCTTATGACATTGACTGATCATCATTTGACTTGCGGGGATCATGATGATAAAATTTCAGAATATATGGCTCATTAGATTAGGCACCAACAGATTGTATACGAAGCTAATAACTGTAGTCAGTTATAATAAAGACGAGACTCTCTCGTTTTTTTATTTTAACACATAGATATTGGTAGGGACTTCATCGTTACCCTGTGGATAATCTCCAGACAAATCCGTTGCATGGAAATATTAGTACAGAGGCATTGAGTCGATTAGTTTGGGACAAGATTCATATGGATCAAATAGTTTATTAGGAGCATCTAAAACAAAACAAATTTCACTAAATACAAGAAATTGTATGTTCATTTTCGAACCATGAATTGGCATCTAATTTTTTTAGAGGATAAGGATTTGCACTACCTAGTCAGTTCTAAAAATAGTAAATAGATAAATTCTAATCATATATAATAGACAAACGTTACATAAAAAGAACTGATTAAACAGCGATTTAAGTTCACTGAATTTGGAAAACTAATTATTCAAGTACGTTTCTCGAAATCGAATTGGCTTCTTCCGAACATGACTACTGTTTCAGACGTATCAGAAGGCAGAATTCTAAACTGCTTGAAAGTGTCGTAAATTTATGAAACTCGTTACGCGGTACTTCTCTAATATGATTAGGCATAAAATATGCTTTACAAATAGTATCAACATATAAACGACAAATAAGGACCGCACAAGAAAAACCGAAAAATATGAAATTAGAAATATTTATAATACAATATTGAGAGTAAAGGCTTTGTTATTACAAGAACACAAACGTAGTATGATACAAAACAGCCGAAATGTAACGCAGAAAATATAAGCTAAGGGTTTAATTACAAATAAAACGGTAAGAAAACGGACACCAAGAAGTTAACACATGTATATTGACGTCCCCAGTACAAATTTAGGTTTTTATATAACAGTTTCTATTTTTACTAAAATTCTCCTGACAGAAATTCTACTTAGTTTTGTTAATATTCATAAGGCATGAAATCTGAAAATTAATTTTAGGATCAATACTTGGTATTTAATTGATAAATAAATATGAAAGAAAATGAACACATAATGGGATCTACATTTAGGCTTTTGCTAACTAACTACTTCATCAATGATATCGATCTGTTAATTAGATTGAGGCTTACGAAAATGTGTTAACATAATTCACATTTTTGTACTGAACTTAGGTTTACATAGGATTCTGCATTTACTTCATATACTTATAGACAGAGAAAAGGGAATCGGTGGACCAAATCTCTTTTAAACTGATAATAAATGGTGAAACGTTCAAAAAGCAAGTTAAATATAAACCAAAGTAAAGTATTTGACTAATTCATGCCTACAACTTCACCATGACAATAAAGTCAAGGTATTTATTTGGATAACACAATATACAGTTAACCATTAGTATTTGTTTTATCGGTATCGATGTAAAAAGTGCTCGGATTAATTCCCTTTTATAAGATAAATGATCACATTTCAAAAAAATATTTAGAGACAATAAAGTTATGGATATTATCCACTTATGTTTTCATTTAATCCAAATGGAAAAAATGACCCAAAGACGCGGTGCTGTTATAACAGAACTGGGGAGAATTAGAATATAAGTCGTATAAAAAGAACATCAATAATACTTAATTTAAAAACCACGCGAGAGTTATGCAACAAAATCCTATTCTATGAACAACAACCACTCTGATTCCAATTAGTAAAAAAAAGAGGCGTGTGACACTCTATAATGAATTTTAAACCACTCTATGAACAGTTTAACAGCTAGTTTAAAATTCAGCGCACCAAATATTCATTCGCGTTAAAGCTATCTCTGTTGTCGTCATCAAACATTGGGTGTAGTAAACCCTCCCTTCAATGATTAAATTAGAGTTCGCGGAATGTTCAAAGCACTCGATTTTCAAAAATAGGTGAAAGGTTTGATCCTAATCAAAACTAGTTCCGTTTGAGAACTCGTGGAGTATCAAGAGTTGTTATACAGACCCTAAGGCTCAAATCCGAGTACAATACCACACATAGTGAACGGGTTATGATATGCCCAAACCCAAACACCTGCAGCTGAATCTGAGGAGCTAGACCTATTTTCAGAAGGCTTATTTAGTAAATTGAGCCTATTGGAAATCAATCAAATAGTTAGTGCATGAAATTGACAAAGAAGTGACTTGAATTTCTAAAAGGTGGGACATACATCAAGGGTGGCCTGACTTAGATGACTGTTTGATCGCTAATCTCAAAAACACTATACTTAGACGAAAAACTGATAGCCTCTATCTGTACAAGAGATATTAAATGACACTTTCATTATTTTTGACAAAAATACCAATGTCAACGATATCTTGAATGCGTTCACTGTCATCAATCAACCAAGTTCACAAAGGAATCAGAGTAGGATTCAGAATTCCACTTCTTATATATTTTTGTTAAAGAGACCTGGCGGTCCTCTACAAACATCGGAATATAAAAAGCTAACATAGAATGATCAATACACGAGTTTTGAGAGTTGGGTCCCGTTGAATCACAAGAGAAACCTAATTAATTTTCTATGTACGTGTGATAGACGTAACTGTACCGAGGATACAATCGATAGCAAATTTGATAAACTACGGCAAATACTGATCAACAACGATACACACCCAGATTCATAGAGAAAAACCCGATGCCTATACAACGTGTATCGAGCACCGAAGATTCTCTTCATGAACATTCAGTTTAAAGGAAATATTGCGATGGAAATTTTGATAAACAGGCCTTCGAGATCTCTAAGAAAAACATCCTTTCCAGTCGGCTTATAATTCGTAGTTGTGTGGAAAATAAACTTGCGCTTTGGACCAAATCAATGTGCATCTATCAGTTTACTTGCTCATGTGGAGCAGTATATATTGGCCACACAAAGCGAGCTCTTTCAATAAACATTTCCAAACACTATCCTGCCTGGCTTACCAAAAGATCACAGAAGTCGGTAAAAAAAATCAATCTTGGAGCATCTAGTCAACTGATATAAGTATTATTCAAGGACAGTTTGTCCATTTAGTTAATGTTAATTCGTCCTGTAAAGTATATAATAATAACTAGGTTCTTCAGAACAAGGTGATGTTAGCCTTAATGACTTTGTTTACCATATTTTAACTGCCGTACAGGTGTATTGCAGTATGATTACACCAACTACAAATAGAGCATTACGCTTTGCTGGATAATGGAGATAAATGTTCGTGAATGAGGTTTTGATAAAAATGCCATAATCTATTTGGAAAAAACCAATTTATCACGAAATTAAAGAGAAACTTATACCAGTCTCGGCTATATTTAATATTTTTTTGAGAAGCTAACGCATCGTTTTATTAACATCGTACTTGAGTACTAGCAATGCATCGTCTTTTGAATCGAACCACTTGTTAGATTCACAACTACCCCCAGAAAAATGTTAAACCAAACTATATGTGCAAACATATACTTCGGTGAGTTGATTTTATTATTTAAGTTTTCCTGCATAATCTGGAACCTAGATATACCTTGAAAATCGGTTTGAAAATGCTTAAAAAAAACCCGTTTTATTACCAGACTGAAAGATTTTGAATTTTTCACTAAGTCAATAACATCGACGCCAACAGAAAAATACACACACAATTATTTAATAGGTTCTCTTCAACCGATTGAGACTTATATACAACAATAAAAGTCATTTAGAGAAAAGCGTTCAAAATTACATATGATTGACAGCAGTGTTTTGATCAATGACCAATGAACAACAAAAATATGAGAATCATTAAAATCGTATCGATGACTGAACCAACAACAGTTGATGATACCTAGACGTGGTGATCAGGCTTGCATATCGTAGTGCATCAATCGGGCTAAACTGGCTGGAACAATCGTTATTCAAGGTCCTACCATGTCAGGCAGGTCGGTTGAAAAGCCGCGAGACTAAAAACAGCAAACTCGAGGTCCGAGGGCGAAGTCGTACTGCTGACTGTACAGACGTGTGACCGCAGTAAGGTGTTTCCTTCAGACAAGCAGCCTAACAGCGATGCTGTCTTCCCACAAGAAAGGGTGGGATTAGAAAAGGTCGACCCTAAAAATGCACATCTCGCCTTATCCAACGGATTTCCGTCTCCGGCGGTAAGATCCAATCAAGTATGGAGCTAACACGAAAACTACTCACAAAAAGGTCGTGTGTGACCGACCTCAAGCAGTTGTCCCTTGAGCACTGCGATCACGCTCTCGTGTCACTAAGACCGACTCTAACCCAGTTTCCTTTTCATGTACCTTTAGAAGAACCCTTCC